CCCCCGCCGCCCCCTCCTCATCCCTCGCCCCTCCCCCGGCTGCCCCTATACAAACACACACACACACACAGGTGCCCACCCCAACCACAACCCCCACCACCACCAACAGCCCCAGCCCCTCACCATGAATTTGAGGGCCTTCTCCTGCAGCACGGCCTCGGCCGGGTCCATAGTCCGGCGCCGAGGCCGGGGCCGAGGCCGCCCCTCCTCTCAGTGCCAGGCCGCAGCCAGCGCAGACAGGAACCTGCGCTGCCCCGCGTCGCCCCCCCCACCCCACTACCCCCAGCTCCACCTCACACCGCTGCCCGCAGAGCGCATGCGCCGCCCGCAGGCCCACGGGAAATTGAGTCCCTGGCCGCGCTACAGCAAGGGTGAGGAAGGCGATCAAGAACTACAATGCCCAGAAGGCCTTGGGGCCGGGGGGACGCCGGGAGCCGGCTGGCGCATGCGCCGTACGCGGGAGAGGGGGCTGACGGGAGTTGTAGTACGGCGGGGCTGTGACTTGCAGCTGGCGGCGCGACCCTGCTCGGGCGGGGGAAGGACGGGAGGAAGCCCCTCTCCGCAGGGACCCTGTGGGCCGATTCCAGCCCCAGACCTTCCCCGCGGAGGGGGAAGGATGGCTCCCAAGTGGCAGCCCTGCGCTCTCTGCCATTAGCATCTCGCGTGTGGCTAATGGCGGGAGGCAGGGGTGGCTGGCAGCAGGGCCCCCTCACCCGCGGCACCCAGGAGAGCTTGGCTGCTCCATCCTTCTGCTCCAGTGCTTGTGCGCTGGCGGTTTTCAAGTCACAGAATGATACGGGGTTGGAAGGGACCTCTGGAGATCACCCAGTCCAACCCCCTGCCAAAGCAGGGCCACCCAGAGCAGGTCCCACAGGAACGTGTCCAGGGTGGGTCTGAATGTCTCCAGAGAAGAAGACTCCACCACCTCCCTGGGCAGCCTCTTCCAGGGCTCTGCCACCCTCACAGCAAAGAAGTTCCTCCTCGTGTTTAGAAGGAACTTCTTCTGTTCCAGTTTTTGCCCATTCCCTCTTGTCCTGTCCCTGGGCACCACTGGAAAAAAGCCTGGCCCCATCCTCCTGACACCCACCCTTGAAGTATTTATAGGTGTTGATGAGATTCCCCCTCAGCCTTCTCTTCTCCAGACTCAAAAGCCCCAAGTCCCTCAGCCTTTCCTCATCAGGGAGATGCTCCAGGTCCGTCATCATCTAAAATTAACCCCATGTGCTGGCACTACCCCTGTGTGCAGAACAAGTACCAAAAATATCTGGTGACTTTCACAGGGAGAGGCTTCGTAGGCTCCAGAGGGGCCATTCCTGCTCCTTGGCAGGGGGTATGGAACAGGGTAACCTGCACCTCTGGAATGGGTCAAACAGACTTCTATTGTCCTTGAGGGACACTTGGTCAAATCAGTCCCCTAAAGAAGACTCCTCACACAAACAGCCTCCCGTGGTGCTTCCATGCCCTTACACTGAGCTTTTTGTTTTTTCTAATAATGATGCAAAATCAATTTTCCCTGAAAACTGGGCCAAGTTCTCCTTGCTGTATCAAGCAGCAAACAAAAAAAAAGAATTGATCAGCATCCCTCTAGCAGCAGCTGCACATAGGCTGGAGGGTGTTTACCATATCCTCCTCTAATCTTCTCTCTTGCACGCCAAACCAGACCAGCTCACTCTTTGGCAGCCATGGCTTCTAATATTCTTGGTTGTGTTAATTTTGTCTAATTTCCTTCCAATTTTCCTACGTTTTTTACAGTGTGTACAAAAGCTGAAGCCACCTTGCATGGAGCAGCAGAGAGGAATTACTTCCTGTGTCTTTAGTACTAGTTATAAGAGTTTTTCTTTCTCTGTAGCAAACATGACACTGATTCCCACGCAGTTTGTCATCCGGTAAAACATTCGGATTCTTTTCCTTGCTGCATTTATGTATTTGACCCCGCATCTTAAGGAGCTACCCTGAATTTCTTCCTGTGTAGATGCAGAGGAGCCAGCCACAAACATCAGCCCTTGCTGACGTGTGGCCCAAGCCCATTCTTTGTGTTCCTGTGTTTGACCTGTAAAGTGAAGCTCCAAGTCACAGGGATGAAACCAGCGTCTCCTACACCCCAGCTCCTTCCTGGAGGGGTTCAAGGCCAGGCTGGATGGGTCTTGGAGCAACCTGGTCTGATGGGAGGTGTCCCTGCCCAGGGCAGGGGGTTGGAACTTGATGATCTTTAAAGTCCTTTCCAACTCTAACCATTCTATGATTCTATGATTCCCTTGTTTTCCCTAAACACCCTGTCTCCTCTGGGTTTGTAAACTAGATAATCAGAGAGAAAATGATGCAGAGCATATGCCCATTACCGGATTCCTTGCAGGGACACATGACCTGGGTGGTGCCTCCTCACCCAGTGCCAGGAGTGTGTCCTCCAGCCAGTGACCCAGCAGAGGTGACGGGGACCGTCAGCCCATGCAGGGTGTGTGATGCTGCTGTTGAGCTACGCTCCCCGAGCAGTGGCTCAAGAAAAAGGGGCAGGGATGACCTTATGTCCTCCCTCTACAATCCCAAGGCACAGAAATCTTCCAAAGAAAGCTTTCAGGTCACCAGGACATGGGCTGCTATTCTTGGACCAGCCCAGCCACGCTCTTGGTCATCACGCTTTAAGCCCCGACTCTTCGCAGTGAAACGCCTGAAATGCTCGGCTGTAATGGGGCTGGGCATCTTCCAGACTGCTGACAGCACCAAAAACGCTTACCACAATTATATAAATAACAGTAATTATAATAAGGGAGTCCTCTAATTACAAAGGAACGGCTCCTGTAACAGGACTGCAGGCGACCGGGGGCCGCCGGCGCTTGGGGCATGGCTCTCCCGCGTCTCCTCCCTCCGGCCATCCTGGGATGTAAATGGATCCTCTTTGGAGCAGCGTGACGGGCTGGAGGCTTTGATTGCACAGTTTATTTGTCAATAATATCTGGTGCTGGCCTAATTGTAGGAAAATGGAAAAGTGTAACGTTTCAGCACTAGACACCACTTGTCCCAAAGCCCTCTAAGCTGATTGATCTGTCTGGACTGTAACGTATAGGGGATTAACGTCTCTGAATCATAAAGAGCATGAACGAAGTGGAGCCAAAACTATTGAGCGTTTAGGTGCTGGACTTAACCTCAGTGGCAGAAGGGAGTGGGTCAGTTTCTGCCGTTGGGACCCCAAAATGCAGCAGGATTGCAGAGAGACAAAGCAAGTCTCCACCATGTCACAGAGAGATTGAGGAAGGGCTCAGAGATCCATGGAATCACAGAATGGTCAGAGTTGGAAGGGACCTTAAAGATCATCCAGTTCCAACCCCCCTGCCCTGGGCAGGGACACCTCCCACCAGACCAGGTTGCTCCAAGCCCCATCCAGCCTGGCCTTGAACCCCTCCAGGGATGGGCAGGGATGCCACAAGAAGAGGCACTTGGCCTGGCAGCATGGAAGTGACACCTCGCCATGTCAACCTCACCTGGATTCCTGTGTCTGCATCCCAGCCTTGTGGCCTCTTCCCACCGCGGGATGCTCGCTGCAGCTGGACAGAGGGCTCTGCTCCCACCAGCTTGCTGTGTCTGCTGTGACCAGCCAGCACACTGAGCTGTGACACCCACCAGATCCCTGCTACAGCCCCGTCCCATCAGGGTGTCACATCACCCCACAGGAGGAGAGGTCTGTGGTGTGTATGGCAGAGGGAAGGCAGATTTACAACCAATTAAATCACGATCTGTTCGGATGGCAGGAACCGAGAGCCAGACACGTGTGGTCAGTGCTGTCTCCACCACAGTGGAGCTGCCCTCACCAGCTCCTCTTACTTTCTCCATGAAAGAGCAATTATTGACCCCCCTTCCCGCCCCCCACAGCCTCACCGTGGAGCACGTTGCACACAACAAGCCATAGAGCGCGCAGGGAGCTCACCATCCTTCCAGATGAAGGATGCTACCTAACGGTAAAGATATTACTGTGATTATTTTTTTTTTGCAGTAGCATATTGCTCTGTGCATTCTGGACTCTGCGGACCACATCCACGCCTGGTGTAACGCCATGTTAATTTGCTGTGGCAATCATTAATTGGGTACGGAACAGCTGGTGCTTTGCTATAAGTGAAGCTGATTGGGTCAGTAAGTAACTGGTTGGTTAAGCGATGTACAGCAGGTACAGCCCTACCTCTCTCCCTGCTCCAGGGGGGTTTCGCTTCTTGTCCCAGTGACCCTTGGAGGAAGCAGCAAGATTTGGCCATGAAACGTTAGGGAGCTTTAATCAGTGCAGTTCCTTTGGGCATTATTGCCTGAATTTTAATATTTTGAATAATAAAGGATGATTTTAAATTAAATTTGTGGGCTCGCCATCTGTGTGTGCTTGGCCTTGTTTTCCTCTGCTTTGGCAGTCCCTTGACTTCATTCTTTCCAAGTTGCAACAAAAAGGAAGGGAAGAGGAAAGAGGGGAGAGCACCGGTGGAGGAACCTTTTGTTATTCCCTTTGTCCTGCAAGATCTTGGAAGCAGCAGCAGCCTTTATTGTGGATGTGCTTCGCAGTGCTGAGCACACAGGCTGCGTTGGGTAGCAGGAGAGCTTGTGAGAGGGAGATGCAACCAGAAATGTCCCAGTGGTTCAGCTCAGCTTCTCCATCCCAGCTTGTCTGTGACAGGGATGTGCTTCACACCAGGCGCTGGCATCTCAGCTGAAGGGACTTGGTGCACGGTGGCCTGGGGGATCTGGGAATAGGATGGCTTCCTGCAGCCTGTGGGCAAAGAGGCTTTTTTTAGGCTAAAGGGACATGGCCACTCAGTTGTGTGAGAGCAAAAGAAGAGAGTCCAAAACCACGTAGCGTGAATTATGTTCACTACGTGGCTAGAGCAAGACAGTACCCATCACCAGTTCTAAGGGGATGTGCAAGGCTGCACACGTGGAGGGGATGAGCAGGGAGAAGCTTGTTTGCTGAGAAACCAGAGCAGTGAGGCTGTGGATTGACACTACAGCCCCAGCTGAATTTATCCCTTGTGCTGCATCCCCTCCCCTGTCTCTGCCAGCCCCACGCTTCCTCCTCACACCTTGTGCCAGCTCTGACGCCGGTTTGCTAGCCCAGTGAGCTGCTTTACTCGCTGTAGTGGCAGAAAAAGTATAATCAGGAAATACCAACTGAACACTGCTTTGTTGACGAGTCAAACTGGCTTTTCTTGCTATCAGACAAATGGCAAAGCTACTGCAAGGGCGGCTGGAAATGGCACTCCAGGACAGGGGAGGGTAGGATGGGACTGG